TCGGTAACGGGCTGAAGTGAGGCGTGCATAATTTAGCACTCAATCTGCGGCGCGTCTCGCTGGGAAAAAATTTAATCCATCAACACGCTGCGTCACGCTTACAACGTGATCAGCTGTTTACAAACACGCTAATAACTAAATCTCGATATATGTTATTAATAATTCAATAAATACGAGCTACCTCAAAACAAAAGCACAGCAATAATTTCTGTGCGAGTGTTTCTATATAACCTCAAAAAAATATAGCTAGACACTGTTTAGGTAAACACATTTTAAGAGTTCGCACAATCCTTTGACTAAGCTATCGCACAACTGTTTAGTCGCGCTTTTATTCCTTAAACTTATATGGAGGTGCGCACACTAGTCGATTTTTAGTGGTGCTAATAAACAGTTGAATTGGCTGCAAAACAATCGACAATCTTCTTCGACTTGAATCGACTTTCGTCTCCTAGGAGAGGCGCATTATGACAACGAATATCATGCCCCTGAATATATTATCCTTGTTATGGCAACACTGAGCAAAATTGTGATATACGCATCGCGTCGCTTCGCCGGCGCATATCATTAGGGAATTTCGGCTTTCGGTTCGCAGCTTGCGAATGAATTTTTCAACCTCTCGGAAGAATTTTTCGTGTAAGGCATTGTGTTGTGATCACACACGCACTGTTTATATACGTGTATCCTTAGGGAAATCTCCGGCACAAATAAGAGTTAAATTAGTAAATAATAATATTAAATTTTACTTGGTCATGGACATAGCTTTTTAACCATTCATTGCTAATCCAATCTTAGAGTTGTGTATTGAATAAATTAAATTATGAGGAACTTCGAAACATCATTTTGAGTTAAAACACGAAAATCAAAATAGTTGTTCGTTCTTGAAATTATCGGAAATAACTGGCAATTAAAAAAAAATGTGTCTAATTAGGAATACTGAGGCTTCAATATCTTAGTTAGTTCTATGTAACTGATTCTTCAAATAAACAAAAAATACAGTAAAGAAATTGGTGTTTAGATGTGATCGTCAGCTCGCAATGGCACGCTCGGCTGCCTCGTCGTATTTACATATTCCCCACCGCCACCGCCCCATGGATTTAGGTGCCAACAAATGGATTGTTTCTCTTCGACGCTGCGAAACAAAATTTATAGCCCGCGAGGCGAAATTTCCTCGTGCGCGTCGCGGGGGCGCGGGTTTTTCACTCCCGATGCCCGATTTATTGCAAACTTATGCCCGATATAATCGTGATTTTAATGCGCGCCGGTGATTTACTGGCCGGATGAGAGCGAGCCGGGATTGCTTTCGAAATTTGATATCTCAATAGAGTTTATGACGGCTCGTTGCGTCCCGCCTCGGCTCGCCTCGCCCCGCCTCGCCTCGCATCGCATCGCATCGCGTCGCATCCACTCGCTGAGGAAATTTTAAACTTACACCCGTTTGTATGTACGGTCGTTAATCTTTTTGTAAATTATGTAAAGCACGGATTAGAGAAACAAGTATTTGTTTTGTTGTAACAGGACAACATAATCTAAAATGAAGTTCAGTCAACTTTAAGTTAGTTTTTGTGCCTATTGTTTATTTCATGTCAAAAACGAACAAAGGGCATCGACCTCGTCGCATCCACGTCCGTCTACGAGGCAATTCTGAATTAAAAAACAATCGCTAATAAATCATTTCGGACGCGGGTCAATTTTCGTGTCTGTTTATATTCAGCAAGTCGTGGTCGATCGCTAGTTAAAAATAATTGGTGGGCACCGAGTCGGCAAAAAACCTCAGCCCCCGGTATAATTTTGACAAATCCCGTTAGCCGGCCGGAGGCGGCCGAGAGTTTATCATTTTCCGGTTTTTGTGTACACCGTAATAGGCTTCATAAATTTCTGATAATGTTTTTTCGATTTTCGAGACATGTAGCGCGCTCCAGAAACTTCGAGCGGAGACACGCGGCCACCGTATCACTCTGTACTCAGATAAAATCTATACAACACGACCGAATATAATCAGATGCGGCCGGATGCCGCTGCTTGTGATACGATTATTTATAATTTCCGAAATAACGCAAGAGACCCCCCTCGACTTTCTTAAATCTACATCATTTATATTAACATTTCCTTACTAACTGAAATATTGAGATACTTCAATACATTCGGTGGCTTGTAAGCACTTGACTTGTAATCTACGGGTCTTGACTTCGAATACCGCATTATACCACTGTGTTTAAATTATTGAATCTCATATATACATTTTAAGGAAAACCACAAAATTGCAACTAGTTCAACGTCGTCAAAATATTCAAAGATATGTGTAGCCAACCGATTCTGGAGAGGAGTTTATTATGGCCTAGTCACCTAGGTTGGCTTGTAAAAATACAAAAATCGCATAAAACTGTAGACATATTTAGCGTAGGTGGTCACAGGCGGTGGGCTGCATTAAGCGGAGCGAAGACAGCGCATTCAATCCAAACAAAACATCCTGCTCATAACAAATATCATAGTGCATTAGCGTTACCGATGCCCGATCGATTGCTCGACTTGTAAACAAGCCGACCGGGAGACCACCGGCGAGCTATTCTCAGACTACGATCTCTATTGATTTTTGTTTATAATTCCCCCATTAGGAATTACATCGAACGTTATACGGATAATATGCATCCTTTCGTATACACTTTTAATAACGCCCGTAACTAAAAAGGGTAGGCAGAACATGGAACTCCATTTGCATCGAAGCTGGCACATCACTTTCGCAATATATAACGTTTTAAGTGTAAAAGGTAAATTATTAAGATTTTAAGATGTTAAAACGGACACTTCAAAATACTTTCAGTGCATTCAATTAAAATTATTACAAGAAACTTTTTAATTGAAACCATAAAACCAGCAACGGCTAAGTCAAAGTACATTTAAAACAAGAATCTAGGTCAGTAACAACTCCTGATGTCTGACAAAATAAAATTTTCAATTAAAGAATCATTAAATTGACGTTGTAAAGATAATTTTATCTTTAGTTATAATTGACACGTTGTAAAAGTGGTCATCTTAATTCAATAATCATTTAACGACGTGAGGTCGGGGACGCGCGAGATCGGCCGCGTTCTACCGCAAACTGTTTATTATAAAATTTTATAGCTGCTCGAGTTTAAAACGACGAAAACATCATTGTTTTACGATCTGCGTCAAGTGAGAGTGAAATAATTCGCCCCATAACCTTCCCCCAGCCGCGTCGCAAACACTTCCCGTGTAATTTTCACTATGAATACATTATTTAGACACTCCAGCGCATCAGGGAATTGGTGTAATGCGCCATACGCTTTTATTTTTATTACGAAGATTTTACGAGAGGCTTCGGCGCATTCCGATTTACGGGGTCGATGTTTAACGATTCCTGGGAAGGCTTTCAGGTGACTTTTAACGCGGTAAACATTACCTCCTTTATGTTTGATTTGCACTAAATTACACGCGTTTATAGTTCGACGCGAGGGAGTAACGACCGGGCTCGAATTGCAGTATTTTGTGGCGATTTAATAACGTTATCTGTTTGCTTTGCATAATTAAGATATCGTCTAGGAAGCTAGGTTTTAATACCGCGATGTTAATAAAGATTGTGAATTATATTGCATTTAATTTTTTATAACACTTAAGGCACGATATCTTAGGCGTTAGTTTCCTACCAGATAAAATAATGGCCGGTGATGAAAACACATTTCAAAGTATCATTAGTTGGTCCGCTAAGTGCGGCGACATGAATCATGATTTTGTCGGTCAGCCCAATTTGTCATACCCTAATGGGTGAGACCCTACCGATATTACGATTGGTTGTTAAGATGAATTTTGATATCAATGATTTTTGTGTAGTGTAGTGTTATTAGGATTCTACGCCAATCAATAAATAAGTTAGATTTCTAGTGTTTAGAATCTTGTGCGCGCAAGTTACCAGGGATACATAAATCATAAGTAGCGTGGACAATGGCGCTGCGCGGGCGCAGAGCGGCACACCGGGCGCGCACCGGCGCGGGCGACGCGACGTATCAATTTCCTTGGGAGGCGCGCTATCGCGTCATCTCGCGCCTTTTCCCTCCTTTTGTTTTTGTTGGCAACGCACCGGCACCGGCCGATATTTTTCAGTGATTTACTCCGAACGCGGCGCCGCGTCTCGGACATGTTAAATCATGTCTCTTTAAATAAACATATCTCTTTAAAAAACCCGGCCGTAAAATGTTTACGCAAGAAATGACAAATAGCTCATCTAGCCAGTCGTCGGCTGAATATTTATAATAGTTTTTATAACCCGTTTATTGCTTTATAGATTTTGAACAGAATCTCTAGGGGTTATGTTTAGTGCAATATTAACATACTTTCGCGTGCTTTATAACGTAAATAAAACAGGAATTAAAACTCTCATAGCTCTAGTAGCTGGAAGCGATAACCAAGTACTTTTGTGTTTTAAGTCAACATAATTTCTTGCACCAAAGATAGATTTATAATTATTGACAGGTCGCATAAGAGTAACTTCGCTAGTTTAAGTTAGAACACTAGTGAAAAAGTAAAGGGTAAGCTTGCTTATTCAGTTAAAGTTAGTCACGTAACCACGAACAGCCGGTATCGACCGGGGAGCGAACCGAGGCCGGTTAATAATTTACACACACGTACGCTACCTGCGGCTACCAGGGCGAGATGAAATAGCGGAGGTCTCCCGGGGACCCGCGTCGCTGCAAAACCAATAACATTACGTACACGTGAGTCATGCCGCCCTGGTGGTTACCTGGCCTTGGGACCCGATAAAAATGATATCCTCTTTGAATAAAAGAAATCTTCAATTTACTTTCTTTTGACATTTTGTAGTTTTTATCGTTATTTAAAAAAGTTGTGATTGTGTTTAAAATTAATTTAGCTTGATATTATATTTATTGTCCTTTCGTTTTATAATTAACACTAATTTACAGTAAACATGCTGGTTAATTGTAATTTTTTTTATTGTGTGAATCTAATGAGATTGTGTTTTGTTCCAGCACCCGTACCCCTCGGAGGACCAGAAAAAACAATTAGCACAGGACACAGGGTTAACGATACTACAAGTAAATAATTGGTGAGTACGTTTCATTTATTCAGAAATTATTAAAACTCAACATTAAGAGATCATCGTTTTTTTAATGAGAAACACGAACGAATGTCGAATTCGATTGTTGACATCAGTCAGATTGGCACCAACGACGTGTTTAAAAAATCATCTCAATTATCGGCCGTGTCATATAATTTAAGCATATTAAAAGACCGAGATAATAAGAAAAATAAGACCATCAGTAAATAGGAAAGTTTGAAAACCAAGTTTCTATTTTATTTATCATATCTAGACAGGATCAATAACCATCCTTAACTTTCGTAAGCCGAGAGAAACCGTTCGCACACCTCTAGCCCTGTTAGCCTGGTATGGGAATCGCATGATTATGTTAAAAGGCGACGTAATAAAGTTACCTATTTTACGACATTCGATCGCGACGCAACATTTAATGCGTCTAATGAAAATAGAATTTTGCCTGCGCCTGCGCACATTACGATGCATGCTGTGCCCACGCAATAGTTTTAATTTTTGTTATAAAAATACGGAAAAAAATGACGAAATCTTACTCACTATAATATTTATAAATACGAAAGTTTTGATGGATATTTGTTAGAGTTTGTAGCCTAAACTGCTGGACAGTTCTCGATCAAATTTGGCATAGATGTAGAGGATAGTCTGGAAGAACACATAGGCTACATACTTTTGTATTTTTTTTATATCACGCGGACTGAGTTGAAAGCTAAGTTATTCCTAATTCCTTAGCTGTATTCTGTTATTCAATTTCATCTCTAATATAAAAGAAACATTCTTTAACCAATTTAATGCAGAGAAATCTCTCCTTTCAACCTTATTCATGATTTTTATTAATGTCAACCGAATTGTTTTCCTGTTGCCCTAATAAGGATAGTAACATCGACGCACGCATTTTGCGTAGGCGTTCTTTTGACGCGCGCTAATAAAACGCGCGTTATATTGCTGACGGTCATCGTCCCCGCAAATGGTGCATCCTTGCTTGTTTTTCAATTCGATTTATTTATAATTCTAGCTGAATGAGGTTTAAATATGGCGGATTTGGGTGTCCTTAATGGCCCTTTCACTGCTGTACATCGCATAATGCATGCAGCTTGTCCCCTGTCCGTAGTAAAGTGCATATTTAGGTTATACGTTGTTTGATTCCAAGATAACATTAACCTTTGATGATATTTATGCATCCTGTTAACGTTAAATATTGTTGTTATCGATATCTTTTACGTAAATTGGACTTTGTAACATTTGTAACATATAATAAAATTGAAATGTCTGTTTGTAATATCAAAGGAACATTCCAGATTTCGGGAAGATGGTGTATTTACGGTGCTGATTAAAAAAATCGCATTTAAAAATTTTGTCTGTCTGACCGTAAGCCGCGTTTGTTCCGGTTAATCTCCGAAACGGCTGGTCCGATTACGACCGGACTTTCACTGGAGGGTAGCTGACATGGACAGGCATATTAGAGGCTACTTTTTTTAAAAATTCCGCACTGTCAAAATGGCGATAGGACCGCTATCTCTGGAACGGGTGGACCGATTTGGACGGGACTTTGACTGGAAGGTAGCTGGTAAAAAGTAGATGCACGCGGGAATGTTATAGACGACCATTTTTTTTAAATTTCACGCTAACGAATTTTGCGGGTGATAGGTCGTCTCTAATAAGGAATCAATACAAACACGACTAGTTTAGACGTAATTAATAGATCGATTTGTAGATAACTCGGAATATATTGTAGGTTATAAAATCAAACACATTTTAGTTCTGAATTTAATAGTTAAATTCTAACCTAAAAATTATATAACAAGCTATTTGTCTAACCTGTCCTTTGAAAGATTTCCCACGCTGTACTCGTAGATTTCACAAGAGGCAAGTAGCGGACAAAATACCTTGATGATTAAGCCGCTATATATTGTGATAAGCTCTCAAAGTCCAACGGACAACTAATGAACCACTGAGAGCCTCTCTATACAAGCGGGAACTTCAACATAATGATATCTACTTTGAATACATGCAGTACTAATCAGACGGTTATTATGGAAAATATTTTTGTTATAAATGTTTTCGATTAAAATTGCGTATATAAAAAATGGTTGTCAATTGCATGAAATTTTTATCCGTTAAATTATATTACCGTTACGTTTTATATGTTGCACAATCAGGCAACACTAAAGTTGTGTATACAATAAACTAGCTGTTCCCGTACGACTTCATCCCCATGAATTATGAAAACTTTTTTGTTGTTTTCATGTGTCAAATTATCAATTGCAAATGTCAAAATGACATAACATTATGACAAACCAAGGCAACCTTGATAATGGCAACAACTTATGGTCTCTTTCCCACATTAGGGTTTTTATCCAAAATATTTTCACCCTAAGTTTAATGGCGTGATAATATATAGCCTAAAGTGGAACGTAAGTGTAGGGCTTTTTATTAAAAAGAATTATTCAAAAATATGCTGTGATTGCTGACATCTTAGGCAACAAAGAAGTGTTTTACGCTTTATTATAATAGTATAGATTAATCAATTTAAATAATTAAAAAAACTAATTTAAAAGTAATTTTCTCGTCATAGATGTATCTTCACTGACAGGCGATGTGAAATAATCTGAAGAAACAACAGAAACGGGGTCTTGGACCGCAAAGTAACGCCGCATACTATTAACATTTACCAGGCTCTCAGAGGTCGCGAAGGTCAGAGGTCCAGAGGCTCACAATTCTCGCCTGAGTGCCGCTATACCAGGGTTACCATGAGTTTCGTATTTCCAGGACAATAGGACTATAGTTAATTCGCGGTAAAATACCATTATTTTATGATTGACAACCTAATTTATTTTTAAAATACCTGATTTATAATTTAAAAAAAAAGAACAGTAAAACCTATTATACACAAAATTGTAATTTAAAATACAAATGTATTTAATTTAAAATCCTGTGTCGAGTTATTTGATGTCTAGTTATGGTCACCCCACACTAAACCATTATAATGCGATGTTTTTTCTCTGTTATCTTAGATAATTGAAGGCAATCGAGATATTTTTTTTAAGAAAGCGACGCGGAATTAATATACAATTATACGCTATTAAAATATGATTCCGTTTGACAGCTCACGCGTCTACAATTGTTGTTTCAATGGATATGATTGACGGTATGCATTAAAAAATTGATTATAATAAGTGCTGCTATCGAAGTAATCTTTCTCCCGGTTCAAGAGTTGAGAGGTGCTTCGTGTGAACACACTTAGGAATTCACTATTATGCTAAGGGAGTTGTCAGAGTCGACAAAATTAGTAAAAGTAATATAATCATTGACAATTTAAACTGTTTGAAATCTGTGTTAAAACCTCAAATTACATTAAAAATTTTATGTCTGGGAGATAGTAAGGTCACTTATATTTAAGTTTTAGTATACGGTGTTTAATGCTGTTAAAAATTAGCTTACTTAGTTAAGTATATAAAAATCCTTTGTCCATATTTTAATGAGTTCGTAATCAAACCTTTCCCCTAGCGATATCCGTTTTGTTTGCATCACAATGCCCTTGCCCTGCTCATCCCATTACAAGTTAATTGGTCAAGCAACTTAAACAAAGACGATTAACCAATTAAAAATTCATTCCTAATCGCTCCGGTAGGACACTCGAGATTGCCTACTCAATAACCCCATCATCCTTTTCGCATTACGCTAAATCCGACATAATAGCGCAATGCCTATCCATTACCTCTCGAACGTCTTTCGGAAACAGCTCGATGCATACATAACGAGCAGTGTATAGTGTAATGCGATACGGTAGTATATCGTGGTAGGGGTAACCCCAGGAAGGGTTGAGTGGTCCCCTCGTGTAAACAGGTGTCTAGATCCCCGTTGATTGCTCTCTATGGCGTATTAGGACAAATGCCTCCTGTAAATATTTTATGGAGTCGCTTTTGACTACGCGGAGAGGTCGTAAAAGATTATGTTAGATGTTGGTTTAAATACGGATGCAAGCTTTCAAATTAAAGTCTTTATAGCAGATAAAATATTTGCTACTCAAATTAATGCAAAATATCATGGAGTTTTTTCCCGTAAAGTATAGTAAAAACAACAATATCAAATAGCCCATTCCACCCACCCGCGAAGGTCGTCCCAGACAACGCGATAAACAATAAGACAGTTGTATTCAAATTCGATATTGAAGTTAACGGCTCGTTACGCACCGAGAGCACATAAAATTCATGCAAATGTCCCGTAATCACGTTACTCGCACAAGGTTGTATACCGGCTCCGTCAAATTGAAACCGCCTCGCCTCTGGGACCCTGTCGAATTAATGAGCGCTCCCCTAATTGCCATTGTATGAAGATGCAAATTCGACGAAGAATGGGAGCGAGCTATCTCTTATTGTTGGTCTCCTAGTACATGTAATTGATAAGGAGTCGCTGGATTTGAATTTCTAATTTTATTTTCATTCATACCTCCTGGGACGGAAGTGGAATCTTTTTAACTTTCTTCGCTTGTTCTTTTTGTAGTTCCTTCATTAGATTTTTTAATTTTTATGGATTTATCAAAACTGAATATTTTTAAGAGGAAATTAGAGTAAATCTATCCATTAACATGATTACCAGTAGTTAGTATTTACGTAACAATTCAAACAAAGGCTAGTATCGGGCGCACAATAGAGGGCTGTATCTAGTTTAGTCTGTCTAGGCTGTGTAGAGCTGCATTGCCGCGACACTAGATTAGTGCGCTTACAGGGGATTATTGCTGATTAGTTGACTATAGATTGCTAATGGGGACATCTATGCAGTTATGATAGCCTGGTAACTTTCAATCAGCCTGTCGTTAAATCTAAACATCTACCATAAATTGCAAATTGACATGTGAAACGTGAAAGTTGGGCTATTTACACCAGTTTATTTTATAATTAGTGCAAATAAGTGTAAAGTTTTAATGTATCTAATAAAATGAGTATTTTGCAACGTAGTTTTTCATGTATTTGTTAGTTAATTATAACGTAATTTAT